CGATGGAGATTCATCATCTTCCTCTCCTCCACCACCACCGCCTCCACCACCTCCTCCACCACCGCCACGCACTCCAGGACTACCTTCTTCAAGACACAAGTCATCACATTCATCAAATTCACCATCGAATAATGACTCGTCCATTAATGAGAGAGCCCTCATAGGCGGAGTAGTTGGAGGAGCGGCATTATTGCTTTTCATTATGATTCTCTTCTTGGTGACTTGTTGTAGAAGGAAGAAGCGAAAGCCCCATAATCACATGCACTACTTTAGAGACGAATCTCATGGAAATAAAAGTACGTAATCCATTCCGGTTTAATTTCAAAATGGTGGCCACATCTATTTTAGAAGTTGAATGGCTGCAGAAATTTTAGACCTGAATTGCTCGTTTGAATTTTATTAACAAGCATTTATGTAAGCAGGTAGTGACTACTATAATAGTGGACCTGGTCAAAACTGGCACAACAATGGCCAGTCTACAGATCATGTGGTGAAAATGGCTCCTCCTCCCGGTAGTGCGGGAGTGAGTTCAGAAATGGGTTGGCCGGTGGCTCCACCACCACCTCCACCGCCAATGATGAGTAGTAGCGAGTTGAGCTCAGCCGGTTTTTCAGGTCCACACAATGCAGCCTTGCCGCCGCCTCACCCTTCCATTGCCCTTGGCTTCAACCAAAGCAGCTTTACTTACAATGACTTGGCAGCGGCGACTGGCAATTTTTCGCAATCTAATCTGTTGGGACAGGGCGGCTTCGGTTACGTGCATAAAGGGGTGTTGCCAAATGGTAAAGAAGTTGCGGTGAAGAGCTTGAAATCTAATAGTGGGCAAGGAGAAAGGGAATTTCAAGCCGAGGTTGATATTATCAGTCGTGTCCATCATAAGCACCTTGTGTCTCTTGTTGGTTATTGCATTGCGGGATCTCAAAGAATGTTGGTTTACGAATTTGTCGACAATGGTACTCTTGAATCTCACCTTTATGGTACGTAATTTACATTTAAAAAAAAAAAAAAAAACTTTTATCTTTTCACATTTCTTGTACATAACAATTCGGTTCAACTATGAAAATCGAGAACATTAGACTTAAAATAAGCTACAAAAAATTGACTCGTGCAGGAGCTAATCGCCCAGTTATGGACTGGCCTACTAGGCTTCAAATTGCATTGGGATCGGCCAAAGGATTCGCTTACCTTCATGAAGATTGTGAGTTTTCACCTCCCCAAGTTTTTTTATTTTTTTATTTTTTTATTTTTTGTGCTTCAATTTTATCGTAATGTTTAATAATATTTTTGACATTGCTTTACAGGTCATCCTCGCATTATCCACAGAGACATCAAAGCTGCAAACATTTTGCTCGATAGTAATGGTGAAGCCAAGGTATTTAACGATATTTCCCTTTTTTTTTTTAAAATTAATTTATTTATGCTTTTAATAATACACATAATGCACTCCAACGAGCAGGTGGCTGATTTTGGATTGGCTAAACTTTCTAATGATAACTACACTCACGTTTCAACTCGCATCATGGGAACTTTTGGGTAAGAAATTTCAGAATCACAGTATATTACTTTGGTCACCATTTGGAACTCTGGGAAAATAATTTACACTGTACTTTTAGATCATCAAGAGTAAAATTAAGGTTGCCAATTCGAGATAATACTTACATGTTTGTGATCGTATATGGAATTAATATGCAGGTACTTGGCACCTGAATATGCCTCAAGTGGGAAACTCACTGAAAAATCTGATGTATACTCATACGGAATTATGTTATTAGAACTCATCACTGGACGTCGTCCGGTTGATATCCATAGAGATGATGATGATAGCTTAGTCGATTGGGTATGTAGTTTCAATTTATGAGAAATAAAGTTTGGTTTCTTTGTTGATTCATTTTTATGCATTGCTTATGTCATATATATATTATTTTTTTTTGTTGGTGCGGGGAATAAATAGGCGAGGCCTATTCTAATGCGAGTAACGGAGGGAGGAAGCTACGAAGAGTTGGTGGATCCGCGCTTGGAGAACAATTATGATCCTCAGGAGATGTTGCGGATGGTGCATTGCGCGGGTGCGTGTATTAGGCATTCTGCAAGGAGACGTCCCAAAATGAGCCAGGTGAGGAACTCTAATTATAAGATTAATGCACTTTTGGAATGTTTTGATAAAGAAAAAGAATTTAATATCTTGTTATCTAATTTGTCAAATCCTCAGATTGTACGTGCTTTGGAAGGTGATGTCTCTCTAGAAGATCTAAATGAAGGGGTGAAGGCAGCAAATAGAGGATTGCATGGCTCGAGTGGCAGTTCTGAGTACGAAAGTGGTTCATATTCGGATTTGAAAAAAATTGGAAAGACGGGTTTGTCTAGCCAGGAGTTCAACAGTAGTGAGCACAGGTATACTGGCGAATATGTCCATTCGAGTGCAGGAAATTCACAAGAATTTCAATTAAAAGGGGGCAGCCGCATCCACAACCCTTAAACAAGCCTCCTTTGCTTAAGGCTCATAAAGATTGCACCAATTGACTAACTTATAAGAGTTCGAGGGTTCATCATGCGACCGGGTAATCAACACATATGAACCCGGTTGGTTTGATACTTGAATTTACAATTCTTATTTTTTACATATTAAAAATGTTTAATTTGGATTATCCAATATATTGGAGTTCGAGTCAAACTTATATATAGACTTGTACAATTAATTCACATTTGTAATAACAATAACGATGTATGTGGAGTATATAGCTTATATATTTGTTAGTTGTGTGGGCGATATGTAGGTTTTTGAACATAATTGTTATGTATTGCTTTGATGTTCATTTTGAGATTTCAATAGGTGATTGAATAGTTGTTTTGAGTAATAAATTAAAATTATAACTTTCCTATCTTGAACCATTTTGAGTGGCACACCGTATTGATATTCATAGGAATGGAAAAAACGTGTATCATGTTCTTAGTAAAGTATAAATGATAATGGAGAACTATGTATATAACATAGTTATCGTCAAAAATCAAGAAGCCTTCCAATCAGTTGTCTCATTTAGCACAAATTTATGCCCAAAAAAATATTCCTACGACCCAAGAATGCATGTTTTGTAAAGTTAATCGCTATTGTGTTTTATTTTAGTACGCAGCTCCTCGAAAGTGTGAATATATGTATTTATCGAAACCAATATCAAAATTTGCCAAAAATAGGGGTATCTACTCCTGTATGGTTTAAGGGTGATATTGAGTTCATATTTTGATTTTGTCACATTCATAAACACCTAATCAAACAGGGTTATATATTACGTTCGTTATTAAAATTTCTTCCATTCTATATGTTATTAGCACTTTAGCCCTTAATTTATTTTAGTACATTAATCCAATTGTCTAATTTAAATCACATGAGCCTGTTTGGAAGTGATTTTGAGAATTGATTTTTTGATCGTTAGGAGAAAAGTGGGATCTACTTGTGAGAGAAGAAGTCAAATATGACGGCTGGAATAGTGAAATAACGGTCAAAAAATTAATTTTTGAGGGGGAAAAATCACTCCCAAACAGGCTCATGTCAAGTACATTATTTATCATTTATCTTTAATCAAACCTCAAAATTTTGACAATCTCAAAGTCAACAGAACCCCTCCGTTTGAATAATTCCTACATACTCAAAACGCATTAGAATACAAGGTCATTGAATCGGAAGGGATTTGCACTCCTACACTCAAGTCAAAATATAAAAAATGGGCCCTGATTATGAACGCATAGATGAACATGGTCTTGGACCAAGGGAAAGCCTTGCAGAAGCTGTGAATGCAGTTACTGGACTTCTCAGCATGCAGCCTTGCGAGGTCAGACTTTTACTTCTAAGCACCATAATAAGATAATTAGCAATGATGTTTCTACAATTTCACTTATTTGCTGTCCCATTTTGATGATAATCATAACTCCAATACATATTTCACATTGTTCTGATTTGTTTCCAGTGATATTCTTATTCTAATATCTTTCACTATCAACCTTTCCCAATTGGAAGAGGATGCTAAAAAGGTATCATTTCCATAATTCCTTTCGTTTTTCAAGGCATAGAGGTGGTCTCGAGCAACTCAAGGTCGCATACTTGCCTATTATCTGGTGTATACATAGGCAATGCAAAGGTGCTCGTCCAGTTATCACTAGGGATCGATGGGGTAAAAGAGGCAGCCATGAAGTTAGCTGTTTGATCGAGGATGAAAATATTAGCGATGCAATTCAAGAAATGAATTTTGCTAACTGTACATAAAGATGACATAATGTGACGTGAATGGAAAAGATTGGTTGAAAAAGTTGATTGTATTTTAAACAGGCAAATGATAAAGTGTCACGTGGCATTATGGACGCCCCTATGTATATGCTTATGTACCTGTAGCACTACTCTTCACGAAACAGTTGCAAGTGGGTAGTTCTCAATCCCGTGTAGTTTTTTCTGCATTTTTTGGTCTGAGGGAAAATTCTTGGCCAAATTCTCCATTTGTTTACTGGTATTAGGGGTTTTGTTTTGTGTGATTGACGTTACAGTCCGCATTTTTTGGTCTGAAGGAAAATTCTTCGCCAAATTCTCCATTTGTTTACTGGCATTAGGGGTTTTGTTTTGAATAATTGAGGTGACAGTTGTATGACGGCAGATAGATTTGGGCAATTCCATATATTCTTGCATTGAATATCTATATTTTCCTTCGAAATAATAAAAGAAAAAATGCAGGTTCCATTGGACTTCGTTTATTTCATATGTACCGATGGATTTTGCTTTTGCATTTGTTTGTTTTGGAATAATTTAATTGATAAGGCCCTGTTTGACAATCATTATCCAAAAACATTTTTTTTTTACATATTCATTTTCAACTACACATTCATCCAATAAAATATATATTCAACACGTAAATTCAATTTTTTTTTTATTACTTTTTAAGCATTCTCAAAAAATTCACTATTCAAAACTTTGTTTGTGATGAATAATGGTCATCAAACAAGGCCTAAATAATCTGTGATGATCAGTTGAAATTTGTTCTTATTTTAGAAAAAATTGAAATTGCTACATGGAAAATGAATGACAGAGTGCGACAAAGAAAAAAAGTAGTTGAAACTTGCATGTACATTTCCATTTGCTCCACTACTGTATTCTGTCGGCGATCACAAAGATTTCAAGAAACAGAACACAGTACAGTTCTCCAAATCACAACTAACTGGGACACTTTGAAATCTCTCTGAATAGCATAATTCTTGAAGAAAAGATATCCATAACCATTAGCCTAGTCGTCAGAGATCCAGATCAAAGAATAGCCTCAGCGCTGCTTATATCACTCTTCTATAGCCTCAGCGCTGCTTATATCACTCTTCTATATCCTCCAAAAGCCCAAATCTGCCAGAATTAAAAGTACTTGTAAAGAGCTCACATTCATTCATTTATGCTATCTTCTTTTCTATGGTTTAGCTGTTACCAGTATATTGCAAAGGATTATAGCCATCATGTTGATTACGAGAAAGAACTTTGAAACTGACTTTTATAAAATGCAAAACTATTTGTAAGGATCAATAGCAGAACACGTGCACAGATACATAGATATAGTCGCACTAGAAGACTAACCTTCAAGTTTGTATCCCAACTTCCTGTACATAAGGCACTCCCATCAGCAGATAATCCTAGACAGCTGATTCGACCATCATGGGAGTTTTGCAGGGATCCCAAATTCAAAACCATCTGTTCATAGAAAACATGAGTTAAGAAAAATCGGTCCTAACAGAATCAAATGCATCAAACTGAAGGTAGCATAACGATTGCAATGAAATTTTAATACAAGACAAGAACGGAAAACTCCGGTGCCACATTTTTATTCGAGACGAGATTGGTAATATATACATAGCACATGCATGATGAATAAGAATGCAATGTACCTTTCCCAACAAAGTGTCCCAGACATAGCAGTCACCATTATTGTACCCTGCAAAAAGGAGCCGGCCCGAGATGGAGAATGCTATGGAAGTCACAGGAGGGACGTCATTATCTCCATGACGTTGGTAGTACACCTGTAGCTGGTGCCCAGTTCTAATGTCAAATAGTCGGCAAGTTCCATCATCTGAGCCAGTTCCAAATCTA